TCTGCTAGGCTTCTCAATCAATTCGGTAGGACCTTGTTCTATTTTGTAAATATTTTTTGTCTCTCTGTTTTATGGTTCCGTTCATGTTTTATTTTTTTTTTATTTTTTTTTAGCGCGTGATTAAATTGGGCTAAAAGGAACTTATGTAGCTGCTTTGTTTTGTAAGATTTTATGAGTTTTAGACCATAGATTTTATGAGTTACAGACCATGTTTGTTTTTTGGCTTTTTGGCCAAACCGCTATTTTAGCGGTTTTGACCATGCCAAAAACGCTAAAATTATGTTAATATGTGTGTTTGGCTAAATAGCTCTTTCATTCAGCTTTTTGTACAAAAAAGCTAAATTTGAAACGCCATACATAGCAGCGTTTGACATTAGCAGTTTTGTTTTAATAGATCAATTTCTTTTTTCTTCAAAATGGTATTTTTCTTTTTCCGTTACAGTTGGTGAAATGGATGTTGAGCCTATTTTTTTTTTTCTTTTTGTTATTCCTTTACATTACCAAGTTTAGTATTATATTGAAAATTTTGTTGTCATTTTCAAATATCAATTTGTATTTAAATATATTAACACTCATTTTATATTTTTAATTTTTATTATTTCTATTAGTATACTTTAATTATAGTAAGTATGAAAACTTAATTTAATTTAAGAATCAATTTAACTTTTGTTGATACAAAAAATAATTACATAAATAAGACTGGTATTTTTTGCTTTTTAAATATTTATATATTTAACAAAATAAGTAAGTTAATAATATTAAATATATTTTTACAAATCAATCAGCTATCTACCCAAACATTCTTTTTAGAACCACTAACAGAATCAGCCGGTCAAACCAGCCACTACTAACAACTGGTCAAAACAGCTATTACAATTCGCTATCTGCTAAAGCTAACCGCTAATTACCAAACAAGGCCATAATCCTTTTTTTGGTATTTGTTTATGTTTTGTTATATTGATATATGTAGTTTATTTATTTCTATTGAATGAAATGATGATCAGATTTGTTATATTGTAAATAAACTTATTACTTATTAGTTATCCAATCCATGTTTTCTTTTTATTGGCACTAGTATCTTCACCCGTGCGATGCACGGAACATATTTATTAAAATATTTTAATAAATACATTAAAATATATATATATATATCATAAAAAGTAAATGACAAATAAATAACATTATTATTGAATAGATAGTAAAAGTACAATATTATATGGTATTACAAATTATGAAAAAACTTTTTGATAGACAACATTTTTAGTAGT